TATACAGGGATGTCTGATGTTGAACACCGCAGAACTAATGAATATATACTGACAAAATATTATATTTTTTTAAATAAATAATTTATATAGTTTTAATAATTGTTTATTTGATATTTAATTGTCTATTTATTTATAAATATTGTTATTTTATTCATATTTATTAATAATATATATATTTTTTTTTAATTTAACAATGTTTTTCTCAAAAAATAAAAGATGCGGATCAGTTTGATTCGTGAACGAATCCTTTACAGTGCATTGGACTTATCAATTGGCGATTAATTGAGAAGATCCGATTCAAACGAATCATTTATTCAGCAATCGGACATTGTACTTCTCAAATGACAAGGACGCAATTCAAGATTATCACTGAATAACAACTTAAATTGTTTGTCCAGCAAACTATCATGTCTTATGAAAACCTGGAATATAGAATACGAGTCATATGGACTACTTTACAGTACATTCCTCAGCTAAAGAAAGTAAGTAATTTTGAACTGTATGATGATGAGTAAATCATGACAGTTTTTTTGTTTTATAAGTGAACTGGCCCTTTAAGGCTTATAAACGACTGTTATACGGAGAAACCTTATTCGTTACCAGCGTAACCTTGTTTGTTTGTTTGCCATCACTAGCGCGTCAGCTGAGATATTACGCCTAAGATGTCTTGAATGACAACTGCTTGGACGCTGAATTAGAAAGCAGGTAACGTTAAGGTTGAAAGTGTTTGCTAAAGTTGTTAATGAAATATGCGCTCTGGTTACGCAAAGAGATTCCAAAAACGTTGAAGAAAGACGCGCTTACGCGAGATTTCTATCTAAAACATGAATAAATCACACACACACAAATACTGGCTTGATGCTTCAAGTTGCTGGCTTTCTCTCACTAAAATTAGGTTGAAAGTGTTTGCTAAAGTTGTTAATGAAATATGCGCTCTGGTTACGCAAAGAGATTCCAAAAACGTTGAAGAAAGACGCGCTTACGCGAGATTTCTATCTAAAACATGAATAAATCACACACACAAATACTGGCTTGATGCTTCAAGTTGCTGGCTTTCTCTCACTAAAATGAAGTTGTGGTAGACTGAGCTGCTGTCAATATTAAAGCCGTCAAAAACACATTTGCATATGAATTCTCCTGAGGTTCACTTACCTGCACAGCCGATGTTTGCCGGTAAACTTGAACAGACTTGGCGTAACTCAGTGTTGCAGGTTGCACGGCGCACACGGACTGTGAGGCGATGCGCCGCGTCCCGACTCGAGTTCACGAATCCTACTATGGCGATGGCTACTGGAGTATTATTCATGACCCAAGCCTTCGCCATTGGCAGGTTACTAAACAACGTCCACCTAATCTAATTAATATTCACCACTGGCGTTTCGCTATTGGAGAGTTAACTAGAACGTCAGCGAGGTGTCATTAATATTCACGAAGTGCTCCTTCGCTATTGGATGGCAGCCACACGACGTCAGCACGGCCTGAGTAATATTCATAAACTGAAACTTCGCCATAGTATAGAATAGAATTCGTAATTTCGCGTTAGAAATCATCACGCATGCTCATCCCGATACCTCAGGGGCAGCGCTACCTGAGAGCACATACTGTATGCCCTACTTTCACTGTCTGTACACTGCCTTCCTCTCAGTCTCCCTATGGGAAGCAATCATTTTGCAATTATATGCCAAAAAAAATAAATAAATAGAACTGTTTACATTGGGATATTGCTATGCCTTTACTATTTAATACCATTCTAACAAAATTAAACAAAAGGTAAGATAAAGTGATCAAAGAAAATAACTTATAACTTATAAATATTAGTCTTAAAAATAATAAATAAATTAAATACACTACCCTTTTTGTAAACTGATTTCTCTCTCTCTCTCTCTCTCTCTCTCCATGGAAGGACAACTGGGAATGTTATCCTGGGCCCATCCATAACAATTGTCCTGGTTACATGAATTTAAGCAATGGTCCTGGGCATGATACATGATGTTTCAGATTTAAAAGAATAATTTATCAAAATGTTGCTCTATTTTACAGGATGGAAAGATCTGGATAGACGAACCATCTTTGAACATCTGCAACCCAAGAGTTCCCTAATAAAACCAATGGCTCTCATTCTTTAAGCGGGGGCAGCTTGAGTCAAGTTGGACTTCAGTAAACAAGGTTTGAATGAAGTTTAAAATGTCTGCTGTGGCGAGACTGGTCTGCCAGAACGTATAGACCCCTAATTGCACGCTACAGTAATAGTGATCTACAAAAATTCTATTTTAGAATTTAAAAACAGGGTATGAGGAAGCACCCACACTGAACTCCACCCGTTCATTCACTTCCTGTGGTGACGCTGGGCAGAGCTTCCATTCATAGAGATATTTTCTTTCCAGGCATTCACAGTACTGCCCATTCTCACACTGACAGCAAGAGTATGAAATACACGGGCCACGTTTTTCAGCCTGTAGCAGCAGGAGGTAGATGAGAGTGGTAGTTGTAAATAAATGTTTCCATTAATAATCCTAAATAAAAACATGCATGCACAGACATTAAAGGAAGAGTTCACCCAAAAATGAAAAATTGCTGACAATTTACTCACCCTCAGGCCATCCAATATGTAGATGAGTTTGGGTTTTTCAACAGATTTGGAGAAATTCGACATTGCTCACCAATGGATCCTCTGGAGTGAATGGGTGCCGTCAGAATGAGAGTCCAAACAGCTGATAAAAACATCACAATAATCCACACCACTCCAGTCTATCAATTAACATCTTGTGAAGGAAAAAGCTGTGTGTCTGTAAGAAACAAATCCATCAAGAGGTTTGAACTTTTAGCCAACATATTTGTTTAGAACTCTCTTGGACCGTTTTTGCTTGTAAATAGTGCTTGATCTGTGCATATTCCTCTCCTGATTCAGACAATATGGCTTTTAACAATATTATAGATAGGACTCGTAGCATATTAGCCAGAAGCAGTGGTTTGAAGTTAAAAAGCATCTGGACAGATGGACTGGAGTCATGTGGATTATTGTGATGTTTTTATCAACTGTTTGGACTCTCATTCTGACGGCACCCATTCACTCCAGAGGATCCAGCAAGTGAAATAATGCTACATTTCTCAAAATCTGTTGCTCCAATAAACCAAGAGACTTATCTACTGTACATCTTAGATGGGTTGAGGGTGACCAAATTTTTTGGTTTTTGAGTGAACTATTCCTTTAATAGACATGGATGTATGAATCTTACATCGGATGTTGGTATCAAGTCTATCTCTCGAGTCCCAGGATTGAGTCAGGTCTGATGAAAGCTGCTATTCCCAAATCTCTAAATGTACTCAACCATCTAATCTCATTTCACAACCTATAACCACAAAAATGCATTTATGTATATAAATGCTGACTTAACTGACACCAACAGAAGAAGATCAAATGCATATATGCACAAAAACCAAACGTTCTGCAATAAAGACCACATGGAGCAAAGTGAATCTTGAGTCAGGTGTGCAAATTGGCAGTTGGCTGTGAATGGAAGGGGTCTGCTTACAAAAATGTCTCGTGATACCAAAGTGCTAAATTCCTGCAGAGATGCTGGTGACGAAGAAGGAGCTTTTCCAGAAGCGACTCTGACAGTGTGGTGTCGAAGGAGTTGGAAATAACAGGTCTATCTCTTGCTCCACTGATAATGAAACCGGCAAGCTTTTCCCTCCAGAGCACTCTTCCGCTTCTCTTGTAGAGAGAATCAAGTTCTTGTACTCTGACACTGTCAAGAGCCTGTCTCGAGAAACTTCAAACTTCACTCTCAGAAACTGATAAACAAGACATTTAAGTGCAAAAACAAGAAATTAATTTCATAGAGCTACTCGAGTATGCTGATTGTTATTCTCTTTTAAAAACAGATACGACTCAAAAAAAAAAAAAATAAATCTCACAAGATGATGTCTGGGGCATATTTCCACCAAAAATCGTTTTTGTATCATACATCATACAGCAAACCTGGGATCCTTCCTCTCTGAACTGACTGGCAGCTCTCTATTGATGACCTTTAATTCATATGCGTTTCGCTGCTTTACAATCCCAGAGGGCTTGTCCTGCATCCCATTAACATTGGCTACAAAGAAAAGGGCTGTTTCTATATCGGGCTTCACTTATGCAGTCTAGGCTCAGTTACCCCTGAAGGTCACGGCAGATGTGAATCCTATAAGGCAGCACGGCAGAAATCAGCGAAAGCAAAGTAGCTTCTCGTCCAATGCCGGCGTGCTGTTTGAAACACTGCGATGAAATTTCAGTGCATCTGAAATGAGATGTGACAGAATTCGCATGTGGTGCATTACACTAGGCACAACACCGAACAGATTGTGTACCACAGAAATGTTACTTGATTAAGCTTCGACACTGACATGAGCTACGAACTGAGATAGAAAAGCTATCGAGACATAAACCCCCCTTTTTTATATTAACTGTAAAATGAAAATCAGAACAGTTAGGGGTGGGTGAAATACTGAAACATGCATATCTTGATAATCATCATTAAATGGGTACCAAGATGTGACATTTTTCATTCAAAAGCAGTATTTTATTTATATAAACATTGCCAAGTGAATCTGCAAATTGAATCATTTTGAAACTTACAAAAGAATCAACCTTCGAAATACCATATTTGCTTAGGGATGCACTGATATTAAAAATGTAATATCAAAAAGCTGATTATCAAAAATATTAAGCGGCACAACTGCTTTCAACATTGATAAGAAATGTTTCTTAATCAGCATTTTAGAATAATTTCTGAAGGATCATGTGACACTGAAAATTCAGCTTTGCATCACAGGAATAACAAAATTACTGTTTTTACTGTATTTTTGAGCAAATAAAAAAAAAATCTCACTGACCCGAAAAATTTTGAACAGACGTTTATATATATATATATATATATATATATATCTTATATTGCTAGAAAATCATATTTTTCCTAACTAGTTTGAATCAACTGCGGCTTTAATAATCACAGTGAACCTTTTAAATTCATAGCAAATGTCATCTTTAATCTTGCTTTTCCCAATTACTTCCAAAACAACAGCAAAAATACTGTTGGGTAAGTATACATAAAATACAAAATGCCCCCAACAATATGAACACAGCTTCGTTTAACTGCTAAAACTGTTTCAGGAACAACTTACACAGCATCAGTGCGTGTACGGTACATTTCCACATGAGTCCTTTTAACAGCAGCTCAAAAATCATTATGTTTTACTGTATAACAACACCGAGGCTAAGCAAAAGCACATGGGTGAAAGCCACAGTGAACGAGGAACGGCTCAAAACTGGTACGATATCATGATCTTATTCGGTGTCTATCTGTGTCTCCTCGGTGAGCTATCCCTGCTCCTCTCGTCTTTCCTCCTGGACTCTTTGTCTCTGTCAGAATGCCTGTTCTCTTTGTCCACTCTCTCCAAGCCGTTCTTGTACGAGTCCCTGGAGTCGATCTCTTTGCGGCTCCTCTCTCGTGACTTTGACCTGTCCCGGCTCCGCTGCAGAGGCTCCTTCTCTCTGCTTCTGCGTCTATCTTTGTCCTTGTCCGCTCTGGAGTTTTTGCCGTCGTCCTTGTGCCTTCGTGAATCCGGCTGTTGGTCCTCGTGGTCCGGAACATGCCTGTGGTGCTGCTGCTCTTTATGTCCTCTCCCATGCTCAGGTTCTCCTCGCTGTTGAGCAGGGGGCGACTCGTCCTCATGTCCCCGGCGGCGAGAATCTCTGTGGTGCTTGTCGGATCCGCGGCGGTCTTCGTTGCTGCCGTCTTGCCGCCGGTTCTCGTGTCTCTTGCTGGGCCGCTCCTCCAAAGGAGATGGCTGGTTTGCTGCCTTGCTGGACCGCTTCTTTTCCTTGTTCTTCTCCTCCTTCTTGCCCGAGGCCTTCTTATGCCTTGAGTCTGTGAAGGGAAAGAAGAATTTCGTAAGTATTCGGAGGAACCAAACATAAATCTGGAATTCTGGTTCTGATTGCACTTTTGCAATTATACCTTATGCCTTAGAAGCCATTCACAAAGAACTCATTCTTCCATTCTAATGCACAACTTTTCTATTGTTTTTCTATGTAAACATGCACTAGACCAGACGTGTATGACCGTTGCATTCATATCATGCGTCTTTTCCAGTGTCTTGCACATGAGTGCCGCATTCTTAAGATGCTGTGTCAAGTTAAACGAATTTCAACTTTTACATGCAGCAGTACTCTAATGTCTGTTCCAAATCAACGGACCAATCAAAAAGTCCACCACACTTAATCTACTCTCCTGTCTGATTTGTCACGATGCAACTTTAATAGCGACAGATCTTTTCCTCAATATTTTCAATTTCTGATTCCACTAGTCTTAAAAGTTGCGATATACCTTAAATAGCAACAGACATTTTCTTCCATATCCGATTCCACGTTTGCGATTACGCACTGGCCTTAAAGTTATGATGTAACAATAACAAACAGATCTTTTCTCACATATTCTTCCATATGTGATTCTAACTTTACATTTATATACTGGCCTTTAAGTTGCAATGCAACAAATAGCGACAGATTTTTTTTGATTGGATGGAAGCGGATCTGAATGCGAGCTTGCAGCAGATTGTAAGAAAGGTTTTTATGGATGAAATGATTGGACAAGCATGGTGTATGTCAACAGAGAGAAGTCTGTTGTTTGACTGGAAGTTGATTCAAATGTACAGGTAAAAAAAAAATCCAATAAAATCTAGCATGGATAAATTATTCACAATAAGATCAGTAACATGCATTTAAAATGGGTGAATTTCCATTTCATACTGGCTTTAAGTACACAACACAGTTACAGTTCAAAACAACTCTCAGTGAGTGAGTCATGAAATTATTTGATAATTTAAGAATCTGGGTTTTTAACTGATCAAGCGGTGAGAGATTTTATGAACCTACATCACTCAATCTGGCCTATTTCAATAAACCCAGTAGGATCAAAACACTTAACTTGTTTACACCTATAAAAAAAATGAGCAGTGTTAAATGTTTGCACATGCACACGTATGAGGGAACTGTTAAGAGACCAGGAAGTATGTCTTCCTTGAAAAGCAGCAATAAACATCAATTAACAATCATTAAACGGTAGCAGAGGAGATGAGAGAGGCCTGACATCACATCTTTTCTAAAAATGTAACTTCATTAACAGCCTCGAGAACAAATTACTGCACTTGAATGGCTGCGGCTCACAGACTCCTGTCAGAATCTGCCTGTTCTCAAATCTAATTATAATCACTTTTTACACAGTGCTGAAACCACAAAAAGTGTCTATCTGCATGCAGATTGGAAGGGGGAGTGTTTATAACAGTGTTTGTCATCACCCCGTAATTCAAAACAAGCTATTTATGAGCAATTTCTGGCTGGGATGAAGGTATTTCTGCCCTGGAAATCAAGGTTTTGCCCTATTGATCAATCAATCTATGACTTTCATGTTATATAGACTGTACTCATAAAAACTAATATTTTAAAACAGAGTAAAACTAAAAAAGAAAAAAAAAATTATATTGTTTCTAGGCCTGGAAACTTTAAAAATGCTCTGCTTTTTACAGGTTTTCCATTATTGCAGAGATCCTAAATAGCTGAAACTTAAAGGAAATTCTTGACAACAGAATTTGAAAGCCAGTTTTGGCCAAATTTGAGAATTTATGTGATGGGGATCTACAAAGTGGACACTCTGTCCTGAAGTGCAGGCTGATGAGTGACCGGTCATCAGAGCTCAGGAAGGGAGGGGGAAAACACTCCATAACAAGCAGAATAATTAAGGAAGAAAAACAAACACAAAACAGATCTTACGTCAAGTCCAGACATGAACGGCATGAATAATTAGGCACTGGGCCAATGGCCACACTTTCTTTCACACTTAATGAGGTTTTAAAGTTATGATAGAAAACAGGATTGCCTCTGCTTTTGTTCAATACAACAGTTTAGTCTACAACGCAGACACAATGTAACATCAACAATCCAAATCTTTCCATTCAATCTAAACCATAAAAATGGGACATTTAGTTTTGGTTATGTCAACAAAATCATGAGCAGATTAAATTAATGTTCAAGTTGGGAATAAAGTAGGGCTGCATGATATAACAAAATAAAATCTGTATCACAATTTTTCTTAGTGTGATAGTGAAGGCTGTAATTTAATGCAATATATGCACTGCTGGTTTCATTGCAACTGAAACATCGTATCATGAGCTGCTTGCGTGTAAATGAACACAGTGCTGCATTTCAAAGCATATAAACGCTTGATGGTTAAATAAATGAATATGTAAATGATAGTATTATCATTTTACAAGTGCACTATAAAGTTAAATTAATATTATAATTTTTTTATATTTATTTATTATTCACTTTATGGTTATTGAAAGAGGTTTGGGCTGGTTCTTATAAAAATGAAACCCCAAGTGTCAATACCAAAATTTTTCAAGTATTTCTCCAATAGTTCATCCCTAAAAGGATAGTTCACACTCAAAAAAAAGAGTTTACAAAGTGAAACATAATTTTTTTGATTTTTTTTTCTATGCAGACATGCTCCTTAACAAAATCACCCCAATCATTTAAGAACGATTCATTCTTTCCAAATTCACAGAAAAGTCCTGTATTCTTTTCATATCACAATATGACAGAAATACAAAATATCGCAGTGCCAATTATGCCTGTCGCAATAATCAATATATCGACTTATCGCGCAATAAATGTACATGACCGCAATAATTTTTGGTGACGCAATATATAGCCCATTATATTTACATAAAAAATTAATGTCACCATGTTTTTTCCATTCCACTTGCGCCTGTGTCTTTTGCAGCTGCTCGTACATAACGTGGTGTAGTCATGAGGTGCTAGTTCATATTTAAAAAATGCTTCTACAAACAAAGTTTCATCTGCAGATATGGTCTTGTTTAGGGACCTGTGCCTTTGTGCATACGGACATCTGACTGCTAATGCTGGGTACACACTAATAGATTTTTAAAATCTTATAAGTTCTTCAAAATATGAGACCACAAACACGAGGACAAAAAATACTAGATTTAACCATTTTGCTCCTATAGTGTGTGGTGTGCCGTGATGTTCCTCCCACACATCAGGATTTCTGATTGTAAATATTCAACATGTTGAATATTTACGATTCGCGATCGGGCGCCTCCGACGTTCTTCCGAGCAGATTTAGTCACTCTTAACACACCTCACACCACAGGAAAATCTGATAAGATCATCTTTAGAACCACCAAGATAATCGGGACATTACCTAGGATTGTCGGAAGGGGAGAAATCGGCCCTAAATCAGCCCGATTATCTTGTGGTGTGTACCCAACATAAGTAGTGATTGTGTTTTTCAGCAATAGTGTGCACCCTTAATTTACAGAGAAAAGGTCAGGGAAGAATCTGTAGATGGAAAAATCTCCATACAAGTTCTTTGTGCATTTTTCTTTTTTGTACTTGTTACTTTGCACTTTTTGTTAGAAAATGTTTATTTACTATTTATTCAAGTTTTTTAAGGTATCTAATATTTTGATACTTAATTTCCATGAACTAAATATTCTTCAATTAAAAGTTTGTTGTCATTTGGAAGTGTGTAGGCCTTCTTGCATTATTAAGCTGTTACATTATGATTATATATTCAGTGGCATAAAATGGTCTTTAAAATGACAATAATATCGCTTATCACAATTATTTCTGGGGCAATATATCGCACAACAAAAAGTTGTTATCGTGACAGGCCTAGTGCCATTTTTTCCCAACATCCTGCAGCCTTAGTTATAAGGAACTAGTTTAATCTACTATGGATCTGATTCCACTTAACAGTTCTGTAAATTATTTTAGTACTTCAAATAAAGTAGGTTAGCCCAGTGTTTCCCAACCTTTCTTTAGTCGCGGCACCCTTTGGAAATTTTAACAAATTTGTGGCACCCTACAAAATTAATTGTCACAATATTTGAATTTCTAACTTCGATATGATACTTTGAAAAGTATAGATATTCAGTACAGCAGGGAAAAACTGCAGAATATACTGTCATACAGATATTTTTAATATTATAAAAAACTTTTGTCCATCAATGGTGGAAATCATTAGGCTAATTTCTAATGAAAAGACCAATTTATATGACAGATTTTAATGTAGGCTTTTATTCATATGTAAACATTGTGAGATAGCTAGTTATAATGGTAATTAAACAAAGGGGCTATTGCAAACAAACAATACTGTACTATATAGATGTTTCCTGTCAGCTCGATTTTTGAGTGGACTTTGCTGTTCCGATGAGCATTAACGGTATATGAGTGGAGCACTCACATGGGCCGTGAGCTACTGAGCGGAGCACACACGCATAGAGCGGGATAATACGCAGAGCGTCACACCACGTGAAAGTGAATCCTGATCGGTGAACAAATTTCCGGCAGCCGGAATTTCAGTGCATCTCTAATTATTCGCGACATCAGAAATGGATATTATATAATAGCTGCTTTTTTGAACATTTTAGCAATTTAAAAATATTAAAAAGACGGCACCCCGGTTGGAAAACACTGGGTTAGCCAATCATAACAGATAATAAACTGATAATTCAGATGGTTTTGATCAGAGCCCGACCGATATATCGTTTTGCCGATATGACATTTTTTTTTACAGAACATATAACGCAGATAAAATGCTTGAAATGGTGTAATTACATTGTTTGTCCAGCAGAGCGCGCTCCATTGTTTGCTACTGGCGACCTGGATGAAACGCTTTAAAGCTTAAGTCTATGGAAAACCATTGAAACTTTGAACGGCCCTATCTCCGTAATGGCGTGGCGATTCCGCACCAAATTCGGGGTATCCCTTCAGCTTGAGGAACCCTCTCGAACACGAATCGAGTGTACGTCTGTCTAGAGGCCCTCTTTCGAATGAGACCACCGC